CCTCAAAACTATCAATATCAGTCAAGTTGTTTAGTGAGTCTAATGAAGCAGCCTGTTTTATGTGTGGAGTGTCATAACGTTTACATTCGCTGCAAATGACACTTTCCATTTCCATATTTGTCTCAACATCAGCACCACTGCCAACAGTTGTGATTCTGCAACGATGTCTCTCATTTGATTTAGTTGTGGTGCAACATTTGCTGGAGCCGTGCATATCATCTATGTGGTTGGGTGTGCGTTTAGTGCCATGCTGTTTGTCATTATGCATTTTACTAATCAGCGATTCCACTTTGTTAACAATACTTGTAAATTTGAGTGGTGTTGTATGTCCACTTCGAGTGCTACTTATGCCACTGCTACTATCACTCTTTGAATTGCTCACAGCAGAACAACGCGATTTTGAGGACGTAGAAGTAGTACCAGAAGATTGTACCGACGATTTACCTGAACGTACACTTTCTGACATTTTAGACTCTTTCCTTAGTTCTTTATTTTTATATCAAAGCGCTATTACCAATCAATCAAAGTCATTGTAATTCAATGCAAACAAATATTTTCATTTTAAACAATGCAATGAATTAATAATATATTATTTATTTACTTATACATTTGTTTTGAAATATCTATAGTTAGTTATATGTATATATATACACAATGTATATATCATATTTAGCCAACAACAGTGACAAGTGAAAGTTATTGCATTAATTAACACCGATCAAACACATTTAACAGTTCACACACAGCGCAGCCAACGACAATGCCAACTGCCGACTGCCAACAATGTTTTTATGTTGCTCACTTACTTATTTCTAAGATATTTTTCTTTATTGCAATTACTAGACGGCAATAAAATGACTTAAGTTGTATTTACACTGTATTAATAAGTCGGTCAAGTCCAATAACACTTGAGATTTATAGCAGTTTCATTTATCACAAATATTTCGCTTCAGATGCACATACACTTTTCAGCTTCAAATACTTAACATTTCATATTGAATTCTATCCAATGCAGTACATTTCTAATTAGCAAGGATCTGATACTTCACAAGTTTCTAGCAACATATCACAACCGGATTCGGTTCTTGCTGTTATGAGCAAAATTTCACTAATATCGTTTAACAGTTAATACACAAAGTTAACTGTAGTAACAACATTTACATTTTTATAAAGCAAACTTAACTGCTGATATCAGTTAGGTACGTTAGCGCAAATAATTTATGAATTTTGTTGCAAAAACCGAAATCGTATGAAGAAATAGTGAAATGCCTGCACAACAGCAACTCAAATTTTCATTTCAAAATTTCATTTCCAATTTCAACAAAAACATAAGATATTTTTTATTCGTTAGTTTTTTATCTAAACATCATCCTCTCTAGTGCACTCGTTGGTTTTAGAAATCACTTAATAATGTTTTCCGCAGCTTGTAAACACAGTTGCGCATATTTTTTTCAACTGAAAACATGAAAAGTCTAAAGTGATCAGTTGACCATTTCACTGAGCACTCAACCGGTCATAAAAGTGGCCGAGCGTAACTCTGTTCGATCATACACATACGCTGCTTCACCGTAATGAGTTGGCTAAAACACAGAGGTACCATCCGCAATAGCGGCTAAAACCATTTAGCCACATACTCGTACGAGACTTGTACGTGCTGAAGAGCACAATATGCTGAAAATGTATGCAAGAGCGCCATTGGAATTGCAAAGAAACCAAAGAAGAAGAGTACAAAACCATCTATCTGAACTAAGCTTAGTTAAACTCAGCTTAACTTAACTGATTTATGTTTAATTTATGTATGTAACTGCCTACGATGAGAGAACTTAAAACAAAATTACTGCTTATTATTTTAATAATTATAAATATTAGCATTTTAATAACAAATGTGTTTACTCACATCAGCATTAATATGCTTATTAGCATTTATTTAAATAAAAATAAATTAAAATTATTTATAAAACAAATAATATATTTAATTGTTTACGATGACACTCAAATCTATCTACAGAAATAATATTACACAAAATAGTTTAACACACATTAATATTTATTTATTTATTATTTATATTATCATTATTATTATATTATTATTTATATTATTATTATTTATATTATTATTATTTATATTATTATTATTTATATTATTATTATATATATTATTATTATTTCGAGGGTTTTCGAATAGCAAAGAAAGAACGAATAAACACAAAAATTTATTTAATTTATTAAAATTTTGGCTGACCTTACAACGCTGTGGACCAGGCTTACTTGTGGATAAACACGATTACTCATCGCTTCTAATTTGACAGGCACGAGTTCTAAGCCTGGCACTTGCAGTTCAAACAAATTATAGACGGACTATAAACTAATGAAATTCAAAATTTGATTATTCCTAAGACCACTGATAATGTGTACTTGGTACTCATTTCAATAAATTAAATAAATTTTTGTGTTTGTCCTTTCTTTCTTTGCTATTCGAAAACCCTCTAAATTTTAAAAAATAGTTTCTTTGTCATTATAAGTTGCTTAACTTTTTCCGGCAACACTAATAAAAACTTTAAAAATTATTATTATTATAATATTATTATTTATATATTTCATTAATATTATATTTTTAATACGGAAATAACGGAAATAACTAAAAGTTTTATTTATAAGCTGAGTATTTTTAACTCCTAAGCACCAATCTACAATCATGGAATTATACATAAAACTATTAAGATTTACTAAGGCAATAACATTAACAGCCGAGAGTATACATTGTATGATAAAAAAAATCTGTATTTTTTTTAAATAAAATTCTTGCGGATAATTTAATAATAATAATTAATGAATCAATTTTAACCAAGTATAAATTGGCAATTATTATTTATGATCTTTTGCCATTTTTCAGATAGTTTCATAATCAATTTAGAACTTTTGTGGTTTATCGACGGAAAGCTTGACAAAACTATTTTCAGTGACTTTCCTGTCAGCCTGTTCTTTTTAAATAAATCCAAAAGTGTCATGTAATTGATGTCTAGTGCCATAGCTATCACCTGGCAGCTTGCATGTCAGTCATGCTGTATCAGTTAAAAAATTTCATTGATTTTTTAATGACTTTTTTAAAAACCAGAGAAAATGAACCACACTTTGGTCAGTTGTTTATAGTCATAAAGTATCAAGCATTTCTTTCTTCAGATACTTTACTCATTTTCAAAGCAATATAAATTTTCATACGAGCAATGAATCACACGAGTTCTTCAGAAAAAAAATTAGACTTAAATGTCACCTTTGAAGCGCATGTTCTTTTGACATAATCGGATTAGTGTTACCCTATATATAGGTACCGGTGGTACATATAATAACAAAAAACTGCAGATGTTTTTTATATTATACCTAATATTATTATTTTTTTACAGTTTCAAAGATCACATGGATATTCTTTCCGAATTAATAGAATTAATTAAGTTAACGAAAAATTTTGGTAGTATATACGACCATTAATTATAAATAGATCTAATAGGTTTATTTAAAATAAAAGATAAAAATACAAATATAAATAAATCGTTTCAAAGAATTTTTTGAAATATTCATTTAGCCGTGCAGTCTTACATTGAAAATATATTGGAATATATATATAAAACAGAATAGATATCCAACTAACCTAACAACTAACAAAAATTTATAAGGAAATTAGAAATAAGGAATTAGAAGTTAATATAAGAAGAATTTTACTTTCTAAAACAAATAGGAACATATGGCATTTCCGATTGGTAAATCTGGATTCAATCTAGATTTACTCTTGATCTGTCAAATTTTGTCGCCCAATCGAATGTTTTTAGAATAATCTAATATTTTTGTAGTAGTGTTGGTGGACATTTATATTTTTAATAAATACATATGTCGAACCAAATCATACTCTATTTGTTGAGTTTTATAAATCAGCTGTTAATTTTATGGTAACCTTGCTACTCTGGCAAAATATCTAGATTATTATAAATTAATCTCAAGTGTTATACATTTCGCCTAAGATTTATCAATTGAAAACGAAAATTGTACTACTAAAAGTGCATTAAAAGAGCATTTCGATTGAAAAAACGACCTCAGATTTACCAATCGAAACTGACGATTTATTAAGGAGATTTGTTAAAGAAACATGACGATACCCTATTATTAGAAAATTGATTTCAATATTTAATAGTTTTATATATAAACAGTATTATAAAAGATATTATAAAACAAAATTTAATAAATTGCTCTTTTAAGTGACAATTTAATATTTATGTCGTCACTTTCTGGAAAACTAAAACAATGGAGTAGAATAAATAATTGTTCATCGTATGGAGATGCCATCTTTCAGCTTAACAAGAAATACTATCTATTAGTTAAACAGTGAAAAATTGTGTTATTACATGTCACTAGATATAAAAATTCGTTAAACATTTATTCAATTTTCGTATAAAGTCACTGAATTTGTCTCATAACGACAGATTGTCAAATTAAGTTTTTAATAACCAAAGAAAAATACCGAATACTAAGTAAGCAAAAATGAAAGTCACTAAAATTTAGATGTTTAACACTTAGTTAGTTACACATTTTAGCATATCATTAAAAATGTTTAAAAATCGATAGTTTATAAAATGCTATAATACAAAGAATTAATTATACCATATAAGTACATCGATACGGATCTTTAATAGTGTGAAAATGTTAATTTTGATAGATTTAATAAGTGAAATATCTTCCTGAAATGAAAGTATGAAAGTCTTAATGGAAAACTTTACAATTTTTAATAAAATCTGAAGGAGTTATAAAAGCATAATGCATTATATATAGAATATAACAATCTTAATTGCTTATAGATAAGCGGCATTAAGTTTCTATTTGTTTTAATCTTCGTATTTAATCCGACTAGATAAAAACACTTTTTTGTTAATATAATTTTTTGTTGTGAATTTATTAATATTTTTCGCTTTACTATAGTATTGTTATTATAGTAATTGATAAGTGCAGTTACTTAATTTTTGATGCAAGATAAAAACATAATAAAATTTTAATAAAGAAAATTTAATTAAATTAAAGAAATATAGAAAAGGGACTAACCCTTTAAATGCAATAAAATTGTATAATTAAATTGAATTTTTTAATTAATGTTTGAAATTTAAATATAAATAATAAAGAAACTTTTTACTTTTGCTTATGGAAACCTTGATTACCCTTTACGCACATAGCTATTTATATAATATTCAATTATATTCTATTTGTAATTTTTTTTCAATTACTTATTATAAATACTTCTTATTTGAGTTAAATCTAAAGCAATTGTATCATTATAAATGCAAACTTATTTCACACAGAGCCTGCTAATTATTATAATCTTACTGTCTCACTTATTTAGCCATAACAAACTGTTATCGGGTTTTGGTCTAACGCAGAATTTCCGCCCAAATACTTCTACTGCATACAAACTTCTCTAGTGTCGTA